GGAAAACTGAATCTGGCAACACTGTGCGACGGAAAAATAACCTGAGAGCAAAACACATGTAAACACACAGTATTTCTGGTTGCCGTAGCGACCCTGCAGCTTAAAACCTCTATTGCTAAATGCAGTTTCAATATAGCAACTGTTTTCAGATTGTTCTAAGCAGTTTCACTACTGCAGCTTTTCTCAAGCTTTATGCGAGGCTTGGTAGGGCACTGCCAACCCCTTCTTTAGTTGGTGGGGTGAACGACCCAATGCCCCCCTGTAGATGGCACGTATGAGTAGCGATATGATCCATCATTTAATTTACCTTCTAATTAACTAATAAACAAAAACTGCATTATGTTTGTTAACAAATAAAATCATTTAAGTCAGATATTGATTGGTAGGTTTATTGGACGAATTTTGAGAGGCTCACAAGATAAGCAGATGGGCAAGATGGGCAAAATGGCAGCTAATTAATTAACCTGTCATCAAAAAACTAAGGCAAGTAAAGGTAAAAAATCAGAAGAACAAGGCACACTTGAAAACATGGTTAGGAATTAGGTGGAAACAGCGGAGGACTGGAACCAAGGAGATCCAGGTGGGTGGGGTCGTGTGATTTGCAGCAACAGTGCCATAAAATTTACCTAATTATTTTGTCTTAAGGTGCAAAAAAGAGAAAAAAAACAGTCTCTTTAATGCGAGGCGGCTCCCAACGCTCACCTTTAAGAGCCGACTCTAAGAGTTGACTTGTTCGTGAATGACTCATCACTAGCGAGCAGCCTGTAGGACTAACTGAGCAGGAGCAGCTCTGAGCTGGTTTCTCCAGTGGGCTGCAGGTTAGAGCAGTATAGCTGGTTAATCAGGCTGGAGCTGGAGTCTCCTAGACTGATGAGGAACCATACTGTCTCACACACACACACACACACACACTGATTTTTTTCATTGTTGCACATACTGTCCGCCTGTTTGCCATTTTTAATGCGCCTTCATCCTCTGGGCCTCACGATTTCCTTTCAGTTACAATACTTTAGCATTTTTTCATTATTATTACTGCATTTCTTTATTGTTCAAATTAAATTTGTTAGAGGAGCTGTCAAAGGGGTCAGGGGTTGAGTGAACAAAAGAGTCTACTTTGACACCAGAACTTGCCTAGAAATCATTGTGATTTGACACACTTCCCTTTACAAACTTAGAAAAATGGACAAAGCTGTTTATAAATACTTCAGGATTTAGGTTGCCACAACTCCATTTGTTATACATGACTGCCCATAAAACCTCATCACTTTACTCTGCTAGTTTGCAAGCTAATGCTACATGACTAAAAACAACAAAAAGAAAGGCAATACACCACAGTTCTAAACGGCTTATAACCAGACAAACTAAATATTCACAAATTTTATGTTTATGTTTAAACATAAGAAAGAAAAATGTTTTGCATTACAAAATTTGCATGGCTAGCTGTTTGGCTCACTGAGGCTAACTGTATGGCTAACCTAACTGAGGGCGAGTGTGTAGGGCTGACGCACTTTGGTGAGCTGAAGTTGCCGAGGGTATGTTAAAAAAAAAAATCAATGAAACAAAATCTGTGCATCGATACAACCAATCAGAGAAATATTCCAGTGTTTTAAACATATGAGTTCTGTTCTTGGTAATGAAGGACAGGAAACTCAGACTATAATAGAAGACAACAGAAGGTGCAGCACCTGCCCACCAGCCTCTATTTAGAAGTGTATATTGAGTCAATGAGTTTTCTTTTCTTTTATTAATGATATTTGTCCTGATAAAAGTTAATATGATGTCTTTATATGACGTCACTCCTACTTTAGAGTCAATACAGTGCAATACAGAGGTCTCAACTGTGGCAGGAGATAATAGACACAGCTAAAAACACTGCATATCAGTGCCTGAGTTATCTTACTGGGTCAAGGCACAGCAGTGATCTTCCAGCACCGGCAGTAAAGGTACATTTTTGATACACTCTAGCAGCCACACTCAGTTCCTCAGTCTCTTCTAATCTATACCACACATGTGACTATAACAAATAGCCCTGGAATGCAGCGTGTGCCTGTATGCAATGTAACATTTCCAGGTCACTGAGGGTGGGGGGATAATATCAGACTGAGCCACTCTACAAGCAACTGTGTCCTAGACAGGCAGGCACAACACACACTAGAAGGGTTACCCACTCATACCAAGCTTTTGTCCCATTCATTACCACTGATTCATGCATGTACACCACATCACACATCGATTCTTTCACCCATCTTCGCTAACTTCACTGTCTTCAAGGCCAATATAGTAGTTATTTTTTAAAACAATGGTGTCTCTGTGTCTACACTGCATTGGGTTTGCTTGCTTCTAATGTAGAATATGATTTCCACACAAATGAAATATATTACATCCACACTAGGCGTGCCCAAAATACTGGTGGCCAGTATATTATCTGCTTATAAATTGGAAAATTTCATTATCATCTGTCCTACCTTGGAATTACGGCTGATAATTACAACAAATAATGTAGCATTTTTAGCTTGGGTACACGCTGATGCAGGTGTAGTTCAGCTTGCTTAAATGGACAGCATAGTGGATAACACTAATTATGGGCTCATAGGTTTAGTTTCTGTAAATTCCTTACTGTTAATACATCCCTAAAACGTCTTTTAGTCAGCTTAAACCACATCCAGCTCTTTACTAAAGTCACGCAGGTGTGTCAAAGTGGTTTAGAACATTACTTATGACTTACTGTGAACTATAAAAATAAACATCCTGTAGCTGGATGCTGTAGGAAGCCATTTAAGACAACAGCAAAAATAACAGAAAAAGGTTTGGGTGACTATTGACATCTAGTGTTTGTTAGCAACATTAGCCTCACATCTCCAGGTTAAAACTAAAGAAGCAAATCTGAACATTAAAAATGTCTTTGCTGAACAACTACATCTGGGGTAAATGGAAAATTGTGTCAGTTAGATGTTTTGCAGACCCATTTTTCATTTAGTTAAGTCATGGCTAAGTAAAATGATTATCAGTTATTGGTATCAGCCACAACAAGATGTTAAAGTGTTATCAACAGAAATTTAATGACTTTTGGCAGTAACTGTGCTAATGTAATATTTTTACTCATGTGACAATGATGTACACATTTGAATAAATTCAATGCATTACTATTTTCAGTGTATACTGATACAAAGCCTGAGTTTCTGAACGGTACGCTATCTCTTACAGATTCCTCTGTCATGGTCATCCAGCAGTTAGACAGTAATATCATTACATAAATGCACTTAGCTGATCATGCTGCTGCAATATAATGACTACATCATATCTGACTGCTGACCATGGCAATTTACAGATTAGTGTAGTCCCTGGTTGCTTTCCACAGTAAAAGAAAGAGTGAGAGAGTGAAGACAAATGTTTAAAAGAATGGGCCCTGACAGACCAAATATTCCTGGAACAGCTTCTCTGGTAAAGATGAGTGTAGTCCTTTCTACTCCTTCTGTGTAGTGAAAAATAAACTGACATTTCCAATTTGAAGCAACACCATCATTTAAGAACAGTTGTGTGTAATTATGGAAGGGTGGAGAAGAGATAATTAAGGATATAACAAAGGAATGAGGCCTTTCTGCAGAAAGAACACTGCAGACATAAAAACCTGTCATTATTTCAGCTGACCAGTTTCCAGACTGCAGCTAACTGTCTGGAACCCTCTTACAGCTCATATGAGACTGAGACTGAGACTGAGAGAGAGAGAGAGAGAGAGAGAGAGAGAGAGAGAGAGAGAGAGAGAGAGAGAGAGAGAGAGAGAGCGAGAGAGCGAGAGAGTGAGATCTAGCAGCCAAAGTCATCTCGTTTAGTCATATTAAAGATGCTTAAAAGATTAAAAAAATGAAGCTTATCTATTAAATAAGACCTCAAGGTGGCTCCACTTTCCATGTATGTATGCGGGTTTATGTTATGTTTTACCAAAAAACAGTCAAAATTTATTTTTGCATGACATTTCATTCATTTTTGCACATTTCCCAACCTCTCTTTAACCCTTAGAATTAAACAGCCTAGATTGGTGCATGTAAATGACCTCCGTTCTGACCTCAACATGTCTGGGCGGGGCTAAACTGCTTTAGGCTAAATAGATGGATATATGCAAATACATTTTTTTCATTTTCAAAACAACAATTCATTCAAAACAGCTTCTAAAAGCTTCTAATAGCTGCCCTCATGTGGGACTTGTTTGTTTTAAAACAATCAATTTTGACATATTACATCAAATCTTCTTAGAAAAAAGCAAAGAAAGTTTCTCCATTTGATGTTGTGTTTTACATCAGTTCAGACTGCAAGCGTGAGTATGTTCTTACAAGATAAGAATATTAATGGCCGATACTTGAGGGAAATTATCACTCTGTGTCCTTCATACTGGATCGGGATCTACAGGGTTGCCCAATCATAGTCCTGGGGATCTACCACTCTGCAGAGTTTAACTCATTACCTCTATTACCTGGATGGCCTGCAGGGGCATCTGAACATTAGAGCCAGGTGTGTTGGATCTGAACTGTCCAGGGCAGTAGATCTCCAGGACCAGGACTGGGCACCACTATACGAAAGGTTCTTGGACAGATAAACCTACCAAATGTTTTGGTTTGGTTGGGATTCCTTAAGAAAATGGGATACGAGCTGAAGAAAAGTATACTGTCATTACAGTTCAAACACAGGGCGTAACTGTCCTCACTTTCCTATTGTATCCACATTTAGAACGCACAGGTTACAATATGTTTACTTACAGAGGCTTGACAGACCTGTGCAGAGAAGTGATCACGCTGTCAGCGCAGCAGGAGCTAATCTTACTACTGACTGTAACTTTCTGAAAGCGTTCATTCATTCATTCATCCATCCATTCATTCTCCAACTCACTTAGCCAAAGTGACTTCACTGAAGCTAGCACTCCAGTACAAGTTTAGGAAACAATTCTCAGGGCAGTGCGCCTGCGTACTCTAAACCTTTCACAACTATCACAGAAGAGTACAACTTACCTGCTAGAATCGCCTTGCCAGGATGGGTTAGTTTGGCTTTTCCAGCGGGCGCTGCTGCAGCTAAGCAGCGGTTACTGTGAAAGGGAGCGACACGCTCAGACATTTTCTGTCAAACACTGAAAGACAAAAACTCGAACTGATGTGGGAGTTGTTTCAAAAGGCTTTCCGAAGTGGCCGCTTCGTGGAGCAACAACTTGCGAAAGAGTGTAGCGTTCAGCGCTGAGTGACTCGGTAGTTTTTACGTAGCGCTCTTCTCTCAGTTCACTGAGTCTGAAGCTCCGCCCACGGCGCGCACGGCCGAGGATCGGACTGTGAAGAGGAGAGAGCGGCTCAGCCAATCGCGACGAAGAGAACGAGATTCGGCCCCGCCCCCGCCTTTCCAGGCTCTGGTTGTTTCTGTCTGCGTACACACCCAGAGAGCACTCGCATCCTGGTGAAGAAACTCGTCTTAAGGTCGAAACTCAGTCCCTCAACACGTTCATGGCAGCTATCGAAAGTGTGGAAAAGCGAGAGGGTTTTGTATGTTTAAAGAGGCGGGCGTTTAAAAGGAATCGTGTTTATCGCCAGATGTAAACAGAAGAGTTAAATTTTTTGTTAGATCAAAAATGAAACCAAATGTCTTCAAAGGAGTTTTACACTGCATCGCAATACACTACAACTCTCATTATTATGTGAGCGTAGAGATATTTTCTCTTTTTAGCAATAGGAGTGGTTTGTTGCGAAACTTGCTGACTCCGAATGGCTGTACAATGGAAATGATAGGAACCAGGGGTTCACAGTCCAAATGTTTCCAGTTATTTTATTCGCTATCCAAAAATGACCAGTGAATCTATGCGTTGTCTGTGTGTAACGTTCATTAGGATAAAATAGCGGTAAAACTAAACAAAAGGTTACTTTGGGTTCCATTTTGCCTCATGCCCTGTATGTATCTCTCCACTTTGCATATAATTTTAAAAGTACGTTTTAGATCAAAACCTTTTCGCGAAACAATGCCGCAGACATATTGGTAACCATGCAATCGATTTCTGTAAGGTAGCTTTTCGAGGCATTAAACGTCTGGTTCCTGTCGACACCACTGTAAACAATTTCAGTTTCTCATGAATGGAGCATTTTATATCAAACCACTCTAACTGACTATGTTTTGACTGTAACTACCTTATTATACGGACATTTTGCAAAACAGGTGGAATTATCCTTTAAAGTGTAAGCAGGCTGTAGTAACTGCAGTCAACAGGAAGCAGTGCTGAATTCCCCAAACGGTGCTCACATCTGGAAGGCCAAGTTGTCGTTTTTCTTTTCTGACAGATTGCCTGTTAACCAGTTTGCCCTCTTATTAATTATCAGGTTATTACACTGTTTAAAAATGAACCAAAATACACAGGAGGACCGTTAAGGGCCACAGTTTGCTCTGTCGTTGGTTACATTTCGCAAGAAAACTGAAAGTGTCACAGACACGTTTTCACGAGGTTGTTTACAGAGATAGAGAGAGATGTGTACGAGTCTGTAAGTGCAAAAAAGAAGAGCAGAAGACAGATATACGTGTGATCGAGAAAGACAGGAAACAAACGCAGGACTTATGAGACCAAGCTCGAAACACGCCATACTGTAGCTAGTGTGTAAACTTTATTTTTTCCAATCTGTGTGCTTGGCCGCCCAATTGAACAGCCATCACAAGCACACAGCCATTTTCCTCCCAACAGGCTCCATAGACACTGCCCCACCTGTGTATCCTAGCAACCAGACACAGCTGCTGCCAGACCTCTTGTTTTTGGATTTTATCTTTTCCTTAAAAAATTAACGTCTCCATCGACAACAACGTTACACTACAGACATTGCTTATGGCTTGCAGTAACACTGAACGTAAATCACTTAAGAAGAGCAGCATTATAAATTATGCATAAGTCATAACTAGTAAGACCTAGAAGATCACAGGCATCACAGAACAAAGATCAAGTTGTTAGACCAGTTATGACACTTAACACACTGTCCAGTAGTTAGGATACTTTTCGCAAACAGCCTTCCTCCAGTTGTGCTCAGCGGAGCCGTACCGGTGGCACATGTTCACTCGTCCTCACAAACTCCAGGGATGAAATCTAGTACTATGTTATGTAAACGCAAAGTAATACTGCAGAATAAACTGAGGAAAATGGCAGAGAAGGACAAAAAGAGGACCTCATACTTGACACAGATCACTAGTGTTCTCTGCTTGAGGACACCTCGTGTTCACCAAAACATTCATTCAGGTAGTCAATCTGGCTTCTACAGTGCTAAGAATTCTGAGGTGTTTTAGTGTACCTATATCTCTCCTTCCATCTCACCATCAATGCTACATCTTTATAAAACTAATTAAAAATATAAATTTTTACACAATTATAGCTATGCCACGTTAGTGAAGAGTGAGTGACTAGATTACGTATGTGATTAAAGAGCATTCAGCATGGCGTTTTGCTTGTTTGTTCATTTGTCTGCTTTGCATTTCGTTGATTTCAGTGTCTCCATCATGCTGGACTGAGTGCAAAGTTGAGCCTCCGTCTCGCAGGCATACGTTTCCGAGGGTTCTTCGAGTGGTGAGGGAGGTTAAATGTCAGTAGGGGAACAGGGTATTAAGGCTGAAGGTTGAACCCGTAGGCCGGCGGGGCATATCCAGGAGCAGTGTAGCCGTAACCGGGGTATCCAGCCTGGGGTGCTACTGGGGTCTGACCAGTGGTCAACATCAGCTGCTGACCTGCGTACAGAGACACACACACAACCAATTATGTATCTAGGCACACCACTTTTGGTGTAAAACGGCACATTTAAGAGAAACTCAGTGAATCAGAATTGTTCACAATGGTGGTGACAGTAACAAGATATCTGAAGTGTTAAATGAAGCTGGTAACACATACACTGATGCCTGAGACATTGTTTTATGATAGCTTTGACATTAGGCTTTGGCCTAAAACATATTTTTGAATATATTTATGGCAGAGAGGCACATACATGCTGTTAAAGTACAATAGTCTCCAAAGAAAAATGATCACTGTTTTATCATTATCATTATCATTATTAGACATCATGATCATAGCTTATATCGGCAGTTTTTTACAGTGAATAGTTGGGTTATATACTGCAGTGATAGACTTACACTTTAAATAGGCCTTACGGTTGGGCATCCTTCACTAATGGCTAAATGGCTCTGAGCGTCTTTGTCTGATCTTAGATGCTATGCAGGGGTGGGCCTGGTTATAACTTGGAAGGGAGACCAACTGGGAATATCTGGGAATATCTACCTTTATTTTGAAAATCATCTCTGAACACATTTAAAAATAGATGACATTATGGAACAAAGAAAAAACTTCAAGCTACACTACTTCAATTATGTGGATTTGGAGACCTCTCTGGTAGAAATGTGTAATTGCACACAACCTGCAAAAGAATATTTTTTGTTGTGCTTTGGACCACTTTCCTGAGCAGATAAATCAGATTTTGGCAAGCACGTTGAAAGAGTATCAAAAGAGAAAAGAAGTCAAAACATGGTAAAACATGGTAAAGGACGTATCTCAGAGTAAGTGGATCTATCTATGATTGTCATCATTTCTCCTGTCTCAGTATTGCTTCAATTAAAAAAAAATAATAATAATAATCAAACACATTGCAACTTTCAAATATTAGATTTTAATTGGGTTTTACAGTGTGGTGGCATACTTTAAACCTAAACTTTAGGCTTTACTGTTGCACCATTTCACATCAAAACACTCTGAATGACTTTTGTTTACATCTCCACAATTGAATTATGAAGACATTTTGAAAAATTAATGGAATTCTTCTTTAATGACACCCTCATTCTCTAGACTCAACATCTACCACTCAAACATAGTTCATTAGGTTCCTGTTGTAATACATAATTATGCTGCTATCTGTAATTGGCCACCTTCCACATGCACAATGCTATGCTGCTTTTACAGTTTACATATCATTTGCATGGCCAATCTACTCAGGACTGCACTCCTTACACATCTACATTTTCATACAATATGTCTGCCTCAAACAAATTGGTCCTACACATTTACTGTACTTTACTTACTGTCGTGTTTTGGGCCTGGGTTTGCAATTTGTGTACTTGTATTGTTCTTTAGTATATTAAATTGCACTTGCGCTGCTTACGTACCATACACTATTGAGGTGGGTTCACTCCCTTCTTCAGTACTTCTTTTACTCTCAGCCTCTTCTAGTTTATCCACCTTAAACAAACAGTGAGATCAACATGATTTAAACACTTCAATCATGGGGAAGTGTGTCCCGCTGTCTAAATGTGCTCCTGTACAATGCTATGAAGAGCATCTTTACGATCAAACTTATGTCTGGTAGGAGTGTATATAAATCTGAGCACATTAACAACCTGAAAAATGCTTAATATTTGGTTAACTAACAAACCTTTATCAATATCTCCTATAATACCAATAACACATTTAAAAATAGAAAATAACAATAATACTAATTATCTGTGCACACAGCAATACAGTACAAAAGTGGATGTACTTATTTTACATGCTGCAAAATGCTGCAACTATTCATACTACATTGTGGTTTTGTTCTATACTATTGACACCACTCAAAAATAAACAGTACAAAACACAGCTACTGCAGAAGCATCCCATACACTACACTAACATTGCGTTTACACTAACATTGCGTTTAAATATAATATACAGGAAAATAATCACACTATATAATCACACTATTCTACGATCTTAAAAAAAAAAGATGTTTTGTTTATTTCACACTCTTCACATTTTACATTTGTTTACTTCACATTCTTTTGTACTTTAACACTATGAAATGTGGTCAGTATGGTTAGCAGTGCACACATTGCCTGACCTCAAAGTCCGCCTACAAGCACAGCTCCATCTATTCTTGTCGGGAGTGGTGTTTATGGCCTAAGAAGTCCTGACTACTGTTAATGTTTCTGTTAGAATTTTCACCATATTTGACAGAGGGACACGTTTTTGTATGAATTCACTCCATGCAATCAAACTGTACATTACACACTTCATGCCAAAACTATAGTTAATTTAGAGTGAATCTTGTGGCAAAAGTTTGAAATAATACAATTCAATACAATAATTACAACAAACTTTATTTTCCAAAAGATATTTGGACTTCTGCTACTCGTTGTCACCAGCATTTAGACAATCTCTGCTTTATGTTTTTGTTTTTCTTTTCCTGGCATATGTTTGTTCCTGGAACCCCTTAAGATTCTAGTCTTTCTTTTGGTTTGCATTTTGACCCTTTTTTTTTACAGGTGAGC